CAGAAAATTTGTGTGTATTATGTTAAGAGTTGATGTGTATTATGTTAAAAGTTTATGTTTATTATGTATTATGTTAGATTATGTGTATTATCTTTTAAAAAGAGTATGTATATTTTGTTATAACATTATGTATATTCATGTATAACATTATGTGTATTCAAGTATAACATTATGTACATTCTTGAACAACGGGTTTTTTTTTAAAGAAAAACCTACTGCCATTCACTGGGGTGAGAAATTTCAAAAAAAAATTAATTAAAACGACGTCGTTTTGCATCTGGACGCATAGTGCAATGTACGCCGTGGTGTAGGATATAAATTGCCGTCGATAAAACAGTGGTACTACTGGGCCATACGGAGCTTGGACAGTGCTGCTACTACTACAAGAAACTTGTATAAATAAATAAATATACTCGAAATCAAATATTCATTTTGATACTTTTTTTTTTTCATAAAAAGAAAGCAATTAACAAAATATTTTTCAACTAAGGCTATCTTCATCCCTAAAATTTCTCTCACTTTTTAAAATGGGTCCCACTTTCCCATCATAAAATTTAGAAATTATCTATTATTTCTCCTACATCCCTACCATTAATGTGCAATCCAACTATCAACTTAGGCTTTTAGTTGAGATGGAGCACATGCTTTAATTTGGTATCAGAGAAGCTGGAGAAGAGATGTTATGCTCTGAATGCTGCGGGAGGAAGAAGAAATGTTATGCGATGCTGAAGAAAAAGGAGGTGTTATGCGAGGAAGAAGAGATGATATGCTCTGACATTGAGGTATAAGAAAAAGGAGGAAGGTCTTGAAGTCGCAACACAGAAAATGACGGAGAAGACTAATTCCAAGGAGTTTCAGCTTAACAATTTGAAACAAAATTTGAAGAATGAAAAAGGAGGAAGGTCTTGAAGTCGCAACACAGAAGATGACGGAGAAGACATGCTTTAATTTGGTATCAGAGCCAGACCAAAGGTCATGGGTTCAAATCTCAGCGCCAATTTGGTATCAGAGCCAGACCAAAGGTCATAAGCGACTATGGTCCACGTGTTGCATGAGGCATGTTTTATTATCTGGTGATGCAGGCTGTTTTGTGGCATACAGAAAAGCCAAAAAATACACTTGAAGGCTATTTTGTGGCATATAGAAAAGCCAAAAAATACACTCGAAGGCTGTTTTGGGTGCTGACAATGTATGCCAACATTATACTGCAGGGTTGGCATGAGGTACCACAGGGTTGGCCCGGGCAGGGTTGGCCACAACAGGGTCGACCACAGCAGGATTTGAACCCACGACCTTTGGTCTGTCTCGGATACCAAATTAAAGCATGTGTTCCTTTTCCTATTTATACACTTCGGCTTTGTTTGGTAATCCGCGGCTAGCGGTTAACATGTAGCGAATTGTGTTTGCAGGTTTGACCAGCGGATTGTATTAGTGGTTTGTAAAAAAATATTTTGTAAAATTAGATAAAAAGACATATAATAATAATAATAATAATAATAATAATAATAATAATAATAATAATAATAATAATAATCATCATCATCATCATCATCATCATCATCATCATCATCATCATCATTATTGGTGTAAAATAAATATTCGAATTATTATTATTTGTGTAAATAATAATTAATAAATTATTATTTCCTTATAAAATTAGACAGAATTTCTAATGAACTTCTTCATTTAGAACTTTAGGTAACCTCTGATTTTTAATAACCTTACTTTTCAACAAATTTTTAGTAAAGTCCTAAACCAATTAAACCGGTTGCAACTGAAAAAATAACAAAAGAAAAATATGAAGAGACAAAAATGCCCTTACTAAAAGTCATAAGAAGGACTAAAAGTGTCCAAAAAATGATAGTTTAGGATGTCAAATGGTAGTTCGAGACTAAGTATTTTATTTATAAAGAAAGGAAATAACCTTATATACACACTACTTGCCTCAAGTGAAATTCGAACCTATCACATCTCATTTAGGAGAGCAACTGGGTACTAGTGGACCACAAGCCACTTGGTTTATAATATATATTTTAATATACTATAAGTACACAAAATGTATATTAATTAATAGTATGGTCCACACAGGATTGTTATATTATGGACCAACTCGTAAAATGGATATAATTGACCCATGCGCATGCCTTGGTCCAATGAAGTGGTTTTGGGTCCGAGCCCAAACTATCTGAAGGCGAGTCCGAAATCTGGCGACCAAATAATGTGGGGGTAGGGGACAGCTGTAGCTCCGCACGATGCAACAACGGAATTTCATATTTTCTCCACCGTGGTTCTTTGTATAAGTAGTTAAGTACGACCTGCCCTCTCTGTTGAGCATATAGCCATTAATGTGCAATCCAACTATCAACTTAGGCTTTTAGTTGAGATGGAACACATGCTTTAATTTGGTATCAGAGAAGCTGGAGAAGAGATGTTATGCTCTGAATGCTGCGGGAGGAAGAAGAGATGTTATGCGATGCTGAAGAAAAAGGAGGTGTTATGCGAGAAAGAAGAGATGTTATGCTCTGACATTGAGGTATAAGAAAAAGGAGGAAGGTCTTGAAGTCGCAACACAAAAGATCATGGAGAAGACTAATTCCAAGGAGTTTCAGTTTAACAATTTGAAACAAAATTTGAAGAATGAAAAAGGAGGAAGGTCTTGAAGTCGCAACACAGAAGATGACGGAGAAGACATGCTTTAATTTGGTATCAGAGCCAGACCAAAGGTCATAAGCGACTATGGTCCACGTGTTGCATGAGGCATGTTTTATTATCTGGTGATGCAGGCTATTTTGTGGCATACAGAAAAGCCAAAAAATACACTTGAAGGCTGTTTTGTGGCATACAGAAAAGCCAAAAAATACACTCGAAGGTTGTTTTGGGTGCTGACAATGTATGCCAACATTATACTGCAGGGTTGGCATGAGGCACCACAGGGTTGACCCGGGCAGGGTTGGCCACAGCAGGGTTGGCCCGGGCACCAAGTAGTTAAGTACGACATGCCCTCTCCATTGAGCATATAGCCATTAATGTGCAATCCAACTATCAGCTTAGGCTTTTAGTTGAGATGGAACACATGTTTTAATTTGGTATCAGAGCCAGACCAAAGGTCATGGGTTCGAACCATAAGCGTTTGGAATCCACCGCACACGTGAGGGGACGTGTTTGCGCCAGCGCCAATTTGGTATCAGAGCCAGACCAACGGTCATAAGTGGCTATATATGGTCGTGGGGGTGTCCCCTCACTCTCCCTCTTATGATAATGTGGGGGTGGGCACGATGCAACAACAGAATTTCATATTTTCTCCACCGTGGTTCTCTGTATAAATAGTTAAGTACGACCTGTCCTCTCTGTTGAGCATATAACCATTAATGTGCAATCCAACTATCAGCTTAGGCTTTTCGTTTAGATGGAGCACATGCTTTAATTTGGTATCAGAGTTAGACCAAATGTCATGGGTTCGAATCTCAGCGCCACCCATAAGCGTTTGGAATCCACCGCACACGTGAAGGGGCGTGTGGTCATGGAAGATCATGGGTTCAAATCTCGAATCTCGCCAATTTGGTACAGACCAAAGGTCACACGAAGTAGTTCCCGACGAGGAGGCCGTGCTTTAATTCTCTCATCACCCCTCATTCTCACTCTACCGAGATGCCGTTGAAGTGGTTCTCGATGATTCTCTCATCACCCCTCACTCTCCCTTTACCAACCCCTCACTCTCCCTTTACCAACTACTACCGAGATGCTGTGGTTCCGGATGAGGAGGCCGTGCTTTAATTCTCTCATCACCCCTCACTCTCCCTTTGCCAACTACTACCGAGATGCTGTTTAGCCTGAAGGTGCCTTTCCCGAGGGGAAGTCGAATCCAGGTCCCGATCGCAGGGCCACGTGAATCAATGGTTCGAAATATCAATAGGCTGGAGAAGGCCATTTTTGTTCTGGAAGCCGAACAAAGGAAGCTGGAGGAGAGATGTAATGCTCTGACATTGAGGTATAGGCTACTGAATGCGATGCTAAAGAAAAAGGAGGAAGGTCTTGAAGTCGCAACATAGAAGATGACGGAGAAGACTATTTCCAAGGAGTTTCAGCTTAACAATTTGAAACAAAATTTGAAGAATGCTGAGAAGTTCGTTTCAGCTATCAAAGGAGATCAGCAGGAGGGATAAGAGAGTGTCCATATAATTCTGTTTACTGATGTTTTAGCGGGATATATGGATTTTATCTAGGTATTTTGGTGATTTCTGATATGTTTTTGTTGTTGGGTGAATGTTATGATATCAATAAAAGTTCATGTTCTACTGAATGTCTGATATGTTTTTGTTGTTGAGACTCATGCGTTCAAAAATTAGCGTATAGAAACTTGATCTAGGACTATTCAAAATTCAACACATGATCATAAGACCACACAACTCCTAAATACGATCATACTAAATTTAGAAGGCATTGGATAAAACATGAATATATTACCCTATAAATTATTATTATCTTATTATCCAACAAAAATAGTACATGGGGGAGGGGGGGGGGGGGTGCATTTTGGGGTTTTGAACAAAAATATGAACAGTATAGGGGGTTAAGTCAATTTTTTGTGATTTGATATCTTCATTTTCCTTGTCTCCCATCCCGTCTTTGTGTTTCTGCTAAATCCTAAAGTAAAATTTCAGCGGAAAGATCTCACCAAAAAATGAGGACAAATATCAGCGCTTTCGTTTTGGATCTGATCTTAGGGCTCTTCTTCACCCAAATCCACTCCTTTATAATATGGGGATGGGTCAAGGGCCAAATGGTTTGGCAATTCCTCATGAGGGGATGACTCGAGAAAATTTTGAATCAGAGCTCTGGATTTTTGGTTATCTTTCGACGTAATAATATCTCGGGGTTTGCTGCGATAACTCGGTATATCTACTATACGACCATTCACTAAAATATGTCGATGATTCACTAATTGACGGGCTGCATGAATAGTTGAAGCCATACCCAATCGAAAAGGCTCCGATTCGATCTGGAATCGGGTAAATCCAAATGCATAGCTGAGGATATCAAAAGCAACTCCATGAGACCATGACCGTTGGCAAGTACCACATAGTCAACCCTAATGAAGGATACCCTTTGCCCGATACTCACAAAATCACCGCTCGAGTGAGTTAATTTCGCCGATTTTCCCTTTTTTATTTTTAATCTTTTTCCCTTAATAATACTATTATTTGGTGTTGAAATGCTATTCTTGCCGGATTTGACATTGCCCAAGATCGGTGTGTTGTTGTTGTTGTTGTTATGGATTTAGTATAAAACCGTTGCTTGATCTAACCAATTAAAATGCTTGATTTAAGTATGAAGCTGTTGTTAGGATTAGTAATCCATAATGGAGAGAGTGTTTATTGAATGATGTTAGGTGACTTCTACATATGGGAATAGCTATCACAATGCAGACAATGTGCCGGATGGACAATTTGCATTTCAGACAGCAGAAGCCGAGGACTACATGGCTTGTTTCTTTGCCGCAGATCATAAGCCTCCAATCACCATTACTGTAGACTTCGATTGGAAAACTGATATTGCTGCTAAGGATTGGACAAATGTTGCCAAGAAAGGCTCTGTTGAAGTAAACCCGCTTTTCATCTATCAAATTATTCATCTCTATATCTCTCTATCAATTCTTTTTTCTGACACATGACACTCACAAACCTTTTTTTCATACCAGATACTTACAAAAGATTACCCTATACTTAAAAATATATTGTGGGTGTTTGGCAATCAGCTGATAGCTGATAACTGATAACTGATTGTGTTAGCTGATAACTAATAGCTGATTCTGTTAACTGGTTTGACCAGCTGATTATATTAAAGGGTTATAGAAAAGTGTTTGGTAAATTAACTGATAGCTGATAGTTGATTGTATGTAAAATGACCTTTAAGGACATTGTGCTAATTTCTTAATTTTTTTAATTACTTTTACAATTTATTTGTATTTATTATTATTAATGATTCTAAAATTTGAGTCACCATTTGTATTCGTAAGTGTATATATTATTTTTATTTACATAAGTGTATTATTTTTTTATTCATTTCACTATTAGTATTATTATTATTGTTATTATTATTATTAAGCCCACCCACTTAAAATCACAACCCATTTTCCATCCCACTCCAAATAGCAATCCCTACCATTTTCCCTGATTTCCTCTGCACGGTTGAACGCGAAGAAGGCGAGACGCAAAGCCGGCAAAGGAGAAGAAAACAACGAAATCAAAGATGACGAACCAGCGATTGGAGATGGCAAATGTAGGTGAACTCATTTATTGACTTAGATTGGTAGTCCTTCCCATTGTGGTTGTTGTTTTTTTTCCTTTTAATTTGTGAATTAAAAAAAATCTAGATTTGTTGTATGTTTTGAGTTCGATGATGAAGATGACTTCCTTGTTGGGTTAACTTGTTTCTTGACTTGGGTTAGTAGTATTTTTCATTGTTTTTTCTTTACTTTTAATTTTTGTGAATATACTGAGTTTTGGGATGAAGATCAAACTGTTTTGTCTGGAGAAGATCAAGGATAATTTGGGCTTTTTAGGAGGAGTTGAATCAGCTGGAGTAGAAACGCTGCTCCCAGCAGCGTTTTGAAAATCAGCTTATTGGCCAAATCAGCTGTCCCAACGAGCTCTTTTACCAAACACTAATTTTGGCTGGTTGACCAAGTCAATCAGCCAAAATTGGTCAAACCAGCTGGAAAATGGCTGATCAGCCAATAACCAAACACCCCCATTGTGTGTATTATAACAAAAAATATATTTTTAATATACTAAAAGTACATTATTTGTGTACTAAATGTACATTATATAAATTTATATATATATATACTTTCAGTACTCAAATAATATATTTTTCTGAATATAATATATATTTTAAAAGTACACCAAATGTATATTAATTAATAGTATGGTCTACACAAGATTGTTATACTCAGGGGGAGAGGGGGGAGGGGGGGAGGGGGCAGTGCCAAAAATGATACAGCCCCAAAACGACGTGGTTTTGGGGCTGTATTATATATATATATATATATGTATATATATATTTTACCTATTCAGTTTTAAAGTAGCAGATAGATCGTGCGTCGCTTCTGTCTTCGTCTCTGATTCTCTGCCGCAGCGCCGCTACCAGCTTCCGGCGCATCTCCGTCCCGACCTACCGGCTTCCGGCGCATCTCCGTCCCGGCCTACCGGCTTCCACCAACACCGCCTCTTAGCGCTCCTTGTGACCGGAAACTCGTCTCCTCAGTCCTCCCAATGCTCACTACTCAGGTTCTTATTTTTGCCCTAATTTCTCTAATTTTTCTAATTACTCAAATTTTATTTTAATGAATTCAATGTATTTGTTTTGTTGAATACTTGAATACATGAATTTCAGAATTTGTTTATTAGTTTATGAATTATCAATTAATCAATTATGAATTTATGATTTATGAATGTGAGTTGGGTAGGTTTGGTGTTCCTTATTTTTCTAAAGACAGTGAATGGCCGAATGATGCAGTGAATGGCCGAATGGCCTAATTTTCAATTGGTGTTACTTGAAATCTTGAATACATTTATACTTGAATACTTGCTAATTTTCAATTGTTGAATGGCAGTGAATAGATTATATTGGTGTTTGCTAATTTTTCTAATTTTGTTTCCCCACTCTGGTGTAACTAAATTTTCTAAGGATAGTGAATGGCAGAATGATGCAGTGAACTTTGTTTTGCTAATAAGAGTATTATCCCATAGTTTATCATAAACTTTGTTTTATAATATATAATGTATTTTGTATTTTAGAATCGTATTTTTATTTGATATTTTGTATTTGGACCTTCTATTTAAACATTTTTAAACTTATTTTATGTTTGCTTCTTCGCCCCCCTCACTAGAAATCCTGGCTCCGTCCCTGGTTATACTATGGACCAACTCGTAAAATGGATATAATTGACCCATGCTCATGCCTTGGTCCAATGAAGTGGTTTTGGGTCCGAGCCCAAACTATCTAAAGGCGAGTCGTGGCCACTCGAGGCAACCAAAGGCAAAGGATAGAGCCGCGGGATATGGTAGATGCCTGTCTCTCCCGCCATTTCTACCGCATCGATCAAAACCGTACTAAAATGGTGACATTCTTCGCTACGCCGTCGCCTCCGTCTACTCTGCACTTCCTTCGTTCATCGCCACTGCGTTTTCCCGTAATTCTCTCGCAGAGTCGCAATCCTCTATTATCTTACGTTGAATTTTTGCTTACTTTTATCGCTCATTTCTCGTTGCAGCGTTGTTTGTGGAGTGGATTTGTCACGAGAGAGAAGTTGAATACGATTCCTTATAGAAAAATTGTCAAGTGAAACCTGAGGTAATTTGAGTTAAGGTCACGGAATTCCAATATGCAAGTTCCAACATCTCACATGATTAGTGGAGTTTGGTCGATAAAACAATGGTACTACTGGGCCATACGGAGCTTGGACAGTGCTGCTACTACTACTAGAAACTTGTATAAATAAATAAAGGGAAAAGGTCAAATAGACCCTTTAACTTTTAATGAAAAAGCAATTAGGCCCTCAAACATTAAAAAGGTTCAATTACACCCTTGAACTTATTAAAGTTGTGCAATTAAACCTATTTACAGGTAATGAACAGGTTAGCAGGTAAAAAAATTAAAAAAATATATTTTTATTTTATTTTATTTACTTTTTGTCTGTCGCCGCCGACGGATCTGGAAAGAGGCTCCGTCGCCTCCTTCCAGGCTGGAAGGAGGCGACGGTGGCTGCCTCCTCCCAGACTGGAAGGAGGAGGCAAACGTCACCTCCTTCCAGTCTGGAAGGAGGCAACGCCTGCCTCCATCCAGACCGGAAGGAGGAGATGACGCCGGCGGCCACCTCCCATAGGAGGCAACGTTGCCGCCTCCAGCCTCCTTCCGATTTGGAAGGAGGCGGCCGTTGCCTCCTTCCAGACTGGAAGAAGGTGACGTTTGCCTCCTCCTTCCAGTTAAGGAGGAGGCAATCGCCGTCGCCTCCTTCCAGCCTGGAAGGAGGCGACGTAGGACACTTTCCAGAACAGTCGCCGGCGGGCAAAAATTAAATAAAATAAAATAAATATATTTTTTTTACATGTTAATCTGTTGATTACCTGCAAATAGGTCTAATTGCACAACTTTAAAGAGTTCAAGGGTGTAATTGAACCTTTTTAATGTTTGAGGGCTTAATTGCTTTTTCATCAAAAGTTAAAGGGTCTATTTGACCCTTTTCCCATAAATAAATATACTCGACATCAAATATTCATTTTTAGCTTTCAAAAAAAAAAAAAAATCATTTTGATACTTTTTTTTTTATCATACAAAGAAAGCAATTAACAAAATATTTTTCATACATGAAAATAAAACTACTCAAAGTAAAAAGATATTTAATATACTACTAGAGGATATATACTAGTATATTCAATAATTTTCATACTTGAAAGTATTAAAAATCCAAGTATAATTACACTTACAACTTTGACAAAAAGAATTCAAAGGTAAGTCTTTAAAAGGCATTGTACATTGTAAAACCTAGGCAAGAATGAACATTATTTGTATTTAACGATAAATTACTTGTCCGTATTTTAGAATTGGATAAGAAATATTGTGAAGGAAAAATAATGCTCTGTAGTTTTTATTTAATTTGTATGGTACATTTTAATTTATGAAGTCTATTCTTTTTACAATAAAGTAAATAACAAACTGAAATTTTCTTTTATTCCTTATATATTACATTTACTATAAAATAACATTCATATTTTTTTTTTAAATTATTTCATAAATCAAATAAGTTGTAAGAATATTGATACTTTGGTAAAAAAAAATTCAATACAATTGAAATAAACTATCAACTCATTTACTTTCAAAAAAAAAAAAAACTATCAACTCATTTGTATTAAAAAAAACTATCCACTCATTTAAAATCTCACTACCTATGCGGGCAAATTATACCATGGACCGCGGACTATCTTATTAGATGGATTCTGATATATGTTTATTTGAAAAGAGTTTATTATATTTTAATACATGTTTATTATTAATGTAATGCATTTTTATTTTTATTATCATACGAGACACTAAAAGAAATTACAATATACTTAAAATATACTTATGTTAAGGACCAACTTGTAAAATAGATATAATTGACCCATGTGTATCAATTCTTATACGATGAACCAGGGTTTGTAATGTACTATAAATTCTGGTTATATGTATGTATCTTATGTTATGCGTTTTTTAGTTTTTTGTGTTATGAAAGTCTATACCTTAATAATATAAATTTTGTACCTGAAACAAATCAATAATTGTATCTCTATGTTGTGATTTTTGTATCTTATGTTATAAAATTTTGTATATTCCAAGTATAAATTATGTACCTAAATATGTCAATTTAGAATCTATAATACTATATGAACCATGATCCATGATACAGATTGCTTTCGTCCAATGAAGTGGTTTTGGGTCCGAGCCCAAACTATCTCAAGGTCGGTCGTGACCACTCGAAATCTGGTGACCAAAGGCAAAGGATAGAGTCGCGGGGATATGGTAGACGCCTGTCTCTCCCGCCATTTCTACCGTATCGATCAAAACCGTACTAAAATGGCGACATTCTTCGCTACCCCGTCGCCTCCGTCTACTCTGCACTTCCTTCGTTCATCGCC